ACTAAAACCACTAAAGTCGTCTTCTTCAGTGTCTTCAGGAGCTGAACAGCCTCAGAATCACTTCATCACTTCCTCAGTCTCTCTGTCGTCGTCGCTCTCAGCGTCACTTTGGTCTCCAGGTGAATTCGTAGAAATCCATAAATTAGTCTCGTCGTTGTTTAAGCTTCAGCGTTCAGAGCGTGTGAAAGAAGCAGCGGCTTCTAGTCCAGAATTTATGGTAAATACTTTACATGCATTTTAAACAGTGGCTGGAGCACATTAATCACAGGCTTTTATTGTGAAAACCCACTTGGGCTCCACTGTGTCTCCATCAGCTCTCTGAGCAGCTGCTGCCCTCGACTCGGGCAGCAGCGGCTTCAGAACCACGTTGTGTTGTGGACTGATCAGACGATGTGTCTTAAAGTCAGTGGGAGTCACTCTGAGCTGCTTCTTCTCTGCAGTTTCCAACAAGTGGATCCACGAACGAGGGCAGGAGTTCAGGCGGCGCTGTGGCCTCCAGGAGACCGACTGACCAGCGAGCCGCTGAGTGTGACTGCACGTGATCGCATGCTTGTTTTAGTCTGGGGTGTGTGTGTGTTGCAGTGTGTGTGAGTGTGTGTGATTCACCAACTTCATCAAGTCAGAATTGGGTTTCTGTTGGCAGCATTCAGACGTCTGTACGTCCCAGTCGTCAGGTGCTTTTAAAGGTCAACGCCGTGTGAAGAACAAAGAACGTCTGAGAACGAGTGGATTCGCCGACGGAGCGTTTTAATCACAGAAACAGGAAACACTGGAACTAGGACGAAGTGTGTCGCTGAGCAGCTTCATGGAAACCAGCTGAGGCTCGTCTCCGTCTGAACATCTCCAGCAGGTTTTATAAACGTCTCCTCATCGTTCAGACTCCAAACAGGAAGAATGCTGAGCAGAGAGAGACCAGAACATGTCAGAGCCTTCAACAGGACCGGTCATATGTTCAGTCAGTCGTATATATAATGACATGTTCAGTGATAAAGACCTGAATGATTGAACTTCCTGTTTACGTTGTTGTTAGCATTAGCCACGACTAGCTGAACTCACTCAGTGCAGCTTTTCATTCCCTCAAACAAGGATCCAGTTACACAGAACCAACATAGAAAACGATCCGAGTCACCGTCTGGCAGTTCAGGACGTTCCTGAGTCCGACAGAAGAGCTTCTTTGTTCTTCACATGTACCTGGGACGTTTGGTGCCTTCTGTCCCGTCACTTCAGTCCACTTCTATTCTCATGGTCACTCGTTTATTGATCCTTTTCTTTTCTCTGCTGTTCTTGAGCAGGATCAGTGTTTTAGTTGACTCATCATTTCATGTTTTGCACCTGAAAGCTGCAGCAGAGACGTTGTTTTTTTCTTAAGACACGAATATGACTTGAAACCAGTTTGGAGTCGTATTTGTGCGTCACGTTTTCAGACCAGTTTCACCCTCAAAAAACCCGTGAAGACACTTTAAGGTTTCACTGTAGAACCTGTGGACTCCAGGTTCTGGTTCCTACCAATGATCCACGTCAACATTTAGTCTGAACGTCTAAAACCAGAACCTTGCCTGGTCCAATTTCATCACATCAGGTCGTTTTGGACAATTCTGGGCAGGTTTGAAGTCACTCTGGACAGTCTTCATCCTGTTTTGGACCCACTTTTAATCGTTTGGACAAACTTTGAGTAGTTCTGGGTCGTTCTGACGAGTCACTTCAGAGGAACTTTGAGTGATTTTGGACAAACTTTAAGGCAAAATAACCTAAAACCAGAACCTTGTCTGGTCCAACTTCACCACATCAGTTCTGCTGATGTTAGAGCCTCAACAGGTGGTGAGATGTGACCAGAGGCTGGGTTCTAGTAGAACCATGGATCCATTCCTAGACAGACACTGACAGGAACCTTATGGATCAGCACCAGCCTGCTTTTTAAAGGCCAATAATTGATTTGTTCCTGTCATTTTGGACAATTCTAGGACGCTTTCAAGTCACTTTGGACGTCTTCATCCTACTTTGGACCCATTTTTAATCGTTCTGGACACATTTTGAGTAATTCAGTGAAGATTTTGGACCTGCTAGAAGCGGTTCTGCTGGATGTTTGGTCCGTTTTGCTCCTACAGAAGTTGAACCCTTAAAGCTGACTGGCGGTTTGTTTTTGAGGGTGGCAGGAGGAACCGTCCCTGGTGTGAAGACGTGGTTTACGACACTCCTTCATGTTTGTGTGGCAGCTCCAGATCGAACTCCAGAACTTCTGTCTGTGTTCTGTCTGCGTAAGTCGCCCGGTGACGCCTCTTCACTCCACCAATACAGCGCCAGCACGGTTCTGTTTCGGCCCGGAGGTCGTTCACTCCACAAACAGCAGATAAAGGGCGAACACAGGCTCCTCCCACTTCCTGTTTGCACCCCGACTGTTCAGACCTGCTGCTATCTCTGGTTTGACCCCTGAAGCTCCAGCAGCAGGTCTGAAGGTCCACGCTGGGCTCCACGAACGTCCTCCGGCTTCATTATCCGCCTCGTGTAGCGTCGGTGTTTCTCTCTGGAAATCTTTGCATTTGTTCCGTTTCACTTCAGTCGTAGTTCTGCTGACAGATCACCTTCTGGTGAGCCAGTAAAGCAGCAACACGTCGTCAGGATCAGAGGTGGTCCTACTGAGGTTGTTTCTGAACTGAGTGCAGCAGCAGGGACTCCAGGTTTTAGTCCAGTGCTGCTCTTGATTAAAGACAGAAGTCAAACCTACAGGCTTCAAGTGAGAATCAGAGTTGTGTTCATTTAGGGTCTGGTAGGTCTGTGGGTCTGCTGGACCTTCTGACTGCTCCACCAACAGCACATCATTACTGTAGCTGCAGATTATCTTCTGATCAGTCAACCAGCTGTTTGGTCTCTGAAAGGTCAGAAGACTGTGAAGAAAGTAGAGTTTCAGTTTAGAAAACAGTGAAGAGCTGCAGCCTGTGGTTGGTTGGTTCCAGAAAACACTCCGTTTGTATTGAAGGCAGGTTCAAGCTGATGATGGTCAGAATCGGTGAATAATGTCTGTAATGTTTACATTTAGATTTTTAAAAGGCGATGAGATAACCAGAACCTGATAAATGAGTGACCGGACTTCATTCTGGTTTCATCTCCTCAGGAGAGCGGCTGTAACATCCCACCAGGTGCTCACCTTAAATCAAAACCGCTTTTCATCAACACGCTGCAGTAAAGTATTAAATGCAGTTACCTTTAGTCCTGCAGCAGTCTGTGTCTAAACTCAACCCCAGGAAGCTGAGAGTTGGTGTTTCTCTTGGAGCCCAGTGTCGGACGCAAACGGTTTGAGTTACATTAAACTGCTTTTCATCAGCTTCAGGTTCTTTACATTCATGACAGTACATCCTGACAGACACTCCTCTGGTGGCCTTCAGTGACGAGCAGGTTGTGGTGAAACACCTGTGGAGCTGCAGCAGGTGTGTGAAGGTCCATCCTCTGTTCTAACCAGTGTCAAGAATGTACAATGTGTTTGTGGTCAGAATAAAGTGGAAACTTCAACACACGGCCTTCGTCTGGTTTCTGCTCAGGTTCGTTTGTGGGTTTTAGATTTAATTAAAAGTGTTTGAAGATGTTTCTGTTTCTGTGGTGAAAACCAGCAGCTGATGTGTCGCTCGCTTTGAGTCTGTGCTGGTTTTGTGTCTCTTTGTGGTTGTTTTGTGTCTCTTTGTGGTTGTTTTGTGTCTCTTTGTGGTTGTTTTGTGTCTCTTTGTGGTTGTTTTGTGTGTCTGTGTGTCTTGTGATCATCTTCTGTGTCTCTGTCGTGGTATCTTTTGTGTCATTTGTGTTCTTTCAGGCTGTCACAGTTTGTTCATGTCCAGTCGCTTCGATCCTCGTACGGTAACTGGACAGTCAGTAACCAGCAGCCAGCGAGGTCTGGTGATGTTTAAGCTGGTTAACGAGCAACATGCAGCCGTCAGAGAAAGTTTAACACAACAAGGACTTGAGAGTTAAACTGATGGACTGGCGGCTCCTTTAGCGCCGGCTCTCGTGTTCTACAGTTTACCGTCGGCACCGTTCTTCATCTCCACAGCTGCTCCTCCAAACACCTGGTCGTGGTCGTCGAGTCTCTGATCGTTTGGCGACTCTTTGGTGTCGTTTCAAGTCTGTCTTTGGTCATTTTGTGTCTTTGGTGTAAGTTCAGGTCTCTGTGGTGGATCCAAGTCCGGTTGTCGTCAGTTTGTGTTCTCTTGGTGTCTCTGTGGTTTGGTTGCGAGTCTCTTTTGGTCGTGTCGAGTCTCCCTCTGGTCCTTTCAAGTCTCTGTGTCTTTTCGGGTCTACGTTGTGGTTCTGTTGAGTGTCTCGGTGGTTTTGTGTCACACTGTTGTACAAAACAATCGATTATAAAAAAGGACATTTTTACACTTTTTTTTTTTTTTTTCATTTTATAGGTTAAATAATTCTTCACATTAAATAATAATCGGTGCAGCAGATTCTTCCACATAAATCATATAAATTGTGCTTTTAAGTGTGAAGTGAACGGCGACACCACAGCCGCCTTCCTTCAGGCGGTTGTTTGATGTTCAGGTGTCCGTCGGTGCAGTCGGAGATCCCAGCGTCGGTTCCGGTTAAGGCTCCGGGAGGCTGTAATCCGCCGGATGGTTTCCTTCACGTAGACGTCCGAAGCAGCCGAGCAGCAGATCGACGGCCGTGTTAACTGTAGACTGAACGTCTTGGTCGGTTTTAGCCAGCAGAGGATTCACCTCCACCAGGTCCACCGCCGACAGAAGACCTGAAGGACGAGAAGGTTTTGGGACGATGAGTGAAACTCTGCAGCAATGAGACGGTCGATTCTCAACATCAGTCGTGACTGATGACACGGAGGCGTCAGTACTGACCCGAAAGCAGAAGGTAACAAAATCTAGTTCGTCGTTGTTTTGTCTCTTTGTTGTTGTTCTGTCTCGTCTCAAAGACAAGAACAACAAAAAAAAGGCAGAACGACGCAACGAGACGCAAAACAGCAACAACAAGACGCAAAACAGCTACAAAGAGACACAAAACCACCACAAAGAGACACAAAACGAACAGACAAACAAATGGACTCAAAGGAACCAACAAAATGAGGCAATGAGACTTAAAACAATAACAGAGATGAAAACCACCTCAAACAAACGGCTGTGTGAGATCGTTGTACTGACACCGTGTCGGTCAGTCTGTGTGTGTTTTAGAGTCGTACCTGTTCCACACAGGTGTTCCGTGATGTAGACGCCCTCTCTGTAGGTGAGTCCTCCCACTACAGGTGTCCCGGTCGCCGGGGTAACGGACGGGTCGATGGCGTCTACGTCGTAGCTCAGGTGAACGGGCTTCTTCCCTCTAGTGAAACCAGGAAGTCACATCTTCAGTCTCCCACTGAGCCCGTTTAGTCGCTGCTGCGGAGCTTTTCATTGTATGGCAAGTTTCCCCAGTTGCCGTGGAAACGTAAATATTTGAATCCCCAGGTTTAGCCGTAGAACTGAAAGGTCTAGAACAGCTGCGACACGTACCTTCTGATGATCCTTAGTGCTTCACTCGAAGGCAGCTGGACTTGAAGATGGTTTATCTAAGTGTGTTCCTGAGCG